CCCACTGACAAGTCCTTGAAACAGGCAGGGTGACATTCCTCTAGGGACTCAACTGCCTTGATATTGATATTTTGCTAAGGGCAAAAGACAATCCTAGCCTGACCTCCCGACCCCCAGGATCCTGTAAGTCTACTTTAACATATAAAAATTCCTTTAGAGGGCGCCTGGGTGGCTCAGATGGTTGAGCGTCTGCCTTCGGCTTAGGTCATGGTCCCGGGGTCCTGGGATCGAGTCCCGTGTCGGGCTCCCTGCTCCTTGGGAGCCTGCTTCTCCCTCTGCCTCTCTCCCTCTGTCTCTCAGGAATAAATGAAATAAAATCTTAAAAAAAAAAAATTCCTTTAGAAATTTCCTTTATCACTAAACCCCCCAAGCATATGGCTGACCGATATATATCTGAAGGGTCTCATGACTAAGGTTTTATTAGACGGTAATAAATGACATTTTCCCAACAATAGCTAGCCCCTTCAAGGTCCTGGAAACCTTGCTTCCAAAATTCCTTAGACACTTACGCTATCCCTAACTGCCTCCCAACTTGAAAGTATATAATGGGCCACTCCTCATGACTCCATTGCAGCTCTTTCTGCCCATGGGTCCTGTCCCCATGCTGTAATAAAATCACCTTTTTGCACCAAAGACATCTCAAGAATTCTTTCTCCTACATCACTTATATCTTTCTTACAGAGTCGCTTTTCTTATTTCCATCAGTCTTTTTTTTTTTTTTTTTTTTTTAAGATTTCATTTATTTATTCCTGAGAGACAGAGAGAGAGAGGCAGAGGGAGAAGCAGGCTCCCAAGGAGCGGGGAGCCCGATGCGGGACTCGATCCCAGGACCCTGGGATCATGACCTGAGCCGAAGGCAGACGCTTAACGACTGAGCCACCCAGGCGCCCTTATTTCCATCAGTCTTACAGTTAGTAGAACTTTTTCACTTTTAGAAATATTCGTCTCCAGTGAAAACTAAGTAGTAACCAACTATGAACTGTTTAACAGAAACTTTTTAGACGGCAATTTTATGAATCTCTTAAGCACAATGTTTACCAAGAGACTCAAATATCCTTAGTTTCTTTGCAATAAGAAGTCAAAAGTGCAAACCTACATTCAGTAATCAATGCTTTAGCACTTTACCTAGATGTCCAATGAATTTAATCCCACTCATCATCCAAGCAAAACTTTAGTTTCAGGTTACCAAAGACTTTGAAAGCAATTACCCATGAAAATTTTGATAAGACAATTAACCGTCATTTTAGTCATCTTTTTACTAACAAATTGCAACAGAGCTAACACGAGGTTATTTGACCTTCAGCAAACCTCGATAGAATAAAAGTTTCACATTTAGTGCTAACTTTAAAGACAGGTCTATCTTAAACCAACAAACTTAACTTAGCTTAAATACTAAATTATGTTCCACCTGGATCCTTCCTTCCCATTGTCAGTTTTTACCTGAGACGCTGGTGGGGAAGTCTGGAGTGGGCGGTGTTAGGTCCAGGGGGTGCTCTTCTTGCTGCTTGATAGCGAGGGAAGGATGGTCTAGAAGCCAGTTATGCAGGCCGCACCCAGGTGGTGCGGAAACAGAAAGGGGGAGGGGGAGACAGAAGAGGCCAAGTGCAGCCAGAAGGCAGAGAAAGGGTTCCCGGTTCCAGAGCTCATCAGCTCCAACAGAGGCACAGACACCATGTTTTCCTGCCAACAGCGGGGAATAGGCAGTCCATGTCAGGCCGGAGAAGACAGGGAATGTCCCTGAAACAAAGGGAGTTTCAGCAGCTGCTTGGGAATATCCCTCAAAGTTCCCGTCCGAGGGAGACTAACCACAGTTGGCTCCAGTTATAGCCATTAACCCGGGAAATGAGTGAAGGAGAAGCCCCCACATCTATTAGGAGGAGGAACAATGAGAGAGTCAGAGTCCCCTTTGCTAGGAAGGGCCTGTGTTTCCTCCAGCAACCTGGGTTAATTCGGAGGCTTATTTAGATAATTATCAAACATGTCGGCGTGGGGAGGAGGTTACTAGCCAGAATGTTCAGGCAAAATTCTGCAAGAGGCCATTTTAGGTCGAGGTCCTGGTGTAGAGCAATGAAGGCTAGGTATGAGTAATGAAGTTACCCTAGATCTGTTCGCCCTATTTCCTGCAGAGGAGAGCTAATAGATCCCGCCGAGGCTATGCAGTGTTACAGGAGCTCAGTCCTTTCCTAAGTTTTGCAATCTGAATTGTTTCCAGGGGGTTAAAAGGCACCCCAAGGGAGAGTCCTTGGGAACTGAAGAAAAGAGAAGGTCCATTACCTAGAAAATCCCCCTGCCCTCCACTCCCGACTCCCAGGTGGCATTCCAGGGTAAGTCAGAGGTTCATGGTGTCAAAGTCACCCGAGGCATTTCCCGAACAAAATCGCTATAACCATCATTGCCAATAAAGGCCCCTGTAGGAGGGATGCTAGTGTCCCCCCATTTCCCCATTGCATCCCAGGCTACAGATGGGTGCCTTGAAGGTCATGTCTTATTTTACTTTGGCTTGAAGAACCTGCCATTTTAACTGAATTTTATAGCTTTAGTAAATAGAGGACATTGATGGAAAACAGTAAAGATAGAAATCCACCATGATCTAAGTGACATCCCAACACATGTAGTCCTTAGAGCCAATTTCCCTAGGAAACAGTCCCTGGTTGGTTTTTAATTCAATCGGATACTGGCTTCGGCGGGCTCCCAGTGGAGGTCCTGTGGCCAGAAGTGGCTAGACCAGGGATGTGAAGGGGATCACATTAGATCAGTCAGGAGGAAAGCTCACACAGGAGTCTTAAGATTGGCGCTATCCTGGTGACTTAGGTGGTGTCCCGTGCCCAGGACAAACAACTTTGTATAAGGACAGCAGTAAAGAGAGGGCACCAGGTTTCTGGGTCTTGCTACCATTCTGGCTAGGGTACTAACTTTCAGCCAAAAGGCAGGCTTTCTCCTCCCCGTAGAGCAGCCATGGGCTAGAGGATTGCGGCCTAAGCAATCGGCATGAAAGTGTTCCAATAACACCTTCATGTGTCCCATACTCCTTGAAGGGCCCCTGGAATGAAAGTAAAGGAAGAGAGACAGTACAGTACTCACCAAGTTTGCACCAAAGCTCGGAGTCCCGATGAAAAGACTCAGAAGCCCCACATTCAGGCGCCAAATGATGTGGTTTTGGAATAGAGGTGAGGTTTGGGGGGAAGGGGTCCAGAGCCAACAACCAAGAAAGAATTCTTGAGACATCTTTGGTGCAAAATGGTGGCTTTATTAAAGCACGGCAACAGGACCCGTGGGCAGAAAGAGCTGCTGCCTGGAGCAGCTTTTTTATTCCTTTTTATAGTTGCACATTATGTGATGTGGCTTTTTAAAAAAAATCAGTATTCTACTGACAGGAATTTAGGTTGTTTCCAATCCTATACAATGACAAAATAACCTTGTACAAATATCTAATATTCTCTCCTCAGTGTAGGAATTAATGACTTAGCCGGGTATGATTAAAATTGTCGCTGTTCTGGATGCTTGTCTAAACTGTCCGAAGTTATGCTTATTCTAAGCTCTTCTTGTGCCATGATATCCTTTATAAGGCTCCTTCACTCTGTCTCTGCTTAAGAATTATCCAAGCGCAAGTACAATGTCATATCATTTGTAAAACTTTTATTAAGTTCTGTGAAAATAAAACTTTGTTTTTCATATAAGGTTTTTGCATTATTTACCCTTTGGTTCCACACACATTCGGCTGTTAGTGGAAAGAATGTGTTAAACTCTGCTACCTCTGGTGGAAGGGGGAAGTTCCTCTTTGACACCCAAGCAGAAATGGAGGGAACACCCCTGCTTTTTCTCCCCCATAAATCCCACCCATCCCAAGGACCTTCCCATGAAACCCACCATGAAATGCCACTAGCCAACCTTTCCCCTTCTGTAGAGGTTCTAAAACAGTACTGTTACAAGCATGTCACACCAGCAGTCACTAAAACACACACCCTTGAGGCCTTTGCAATTGCTGTTCCTTCTGCCTGGCATGCTCTTAACCTCGATAAACATTTGGTTCTTTCAGTGCTTCCTCAAGGAGTCTATTCAAATGCTGCCTCTTCAAAGAGTCCTGCCTCTCCAGCCTCTAACCCCCATCTCACTTACCCTGCTTTTGCTTCCTGTCGCCACTACCTGATTTATGTAGGCGTTTCTGTCTCCCGCTCCCTGAATTTAAATTCCACTAAGGTAGAGTCTTGTTGGGACGCCTGGGTGGCTCAGAGGGTTAAGCAAAATTTGCCTTCAGCTCAGGTCGTGATCCCAGGGTCAGGGGATCGAGTCCCTCATCTGGCTCCTTGCCCCGGACGGGAGCCTGTTTCTCCCTCTGCCTGCTTCTATCTCTGCCTGGAGCTCCCCCTGCTTGCGCTCTCCGACAAAAAAAAAAAAAAAAAAAAAGGTAGAGTCTTGTTTTATTTGGTATGTATCTATCTCCAGAACCTAGCCAGCACTTGAAAATCATTCAGAACATTTTTAATTATCAGTGAATGAATACCATCCCAATTATGGGCCGGTACTATGATACATATGAAAAAGGTCTAAAAATGTATAGTAATGAATGTTAAAGCATTACTACAATCTCAACTTTTGTTGCCTGAATCCAGATAAAAGAATTACAAATAGAATCAACCCAGCTCTGTCGATTCTGCTTAAAGTATTCGGTTTCCTTCGTTCAGTTCGTATTATATGCCCACACTGGTCCTCAAAAAATATTTACCCAAACACGTAACGTAATGCTGAGGAAAGTTAACTCGTCTAAGGTCCAGTGGCAGTCGCGCCAGATATCTGCCTCATTCTCAAGGTTGGATTTGTCTACCATGTTAATACAAACGTTTGGAAGGAAGCAACGAGGTCCTCCTGCCCTAGGAAGCAAACAGCAAGCGGTTCTGACTCAGGCAAGGACGGGAGGACGAACCGCGCGGGCTAACTTCAGGCACTTCCGGTCTCCGGAATGAGCCTGGCGCGGAGCTCATGACGCAAACCGCGTACGACCAGGCGCCGCCGTGACGTCCTGTTCTTCCAGTGACCTTCAGGTCCCGGGGAGACGTCGGCGAGCGAGAGGCCTCTGCCTGTGCGCTGATTGGTCGTGAGCTGAGGCCAATCCCGCCCTCCGTTTTCCGTTCTGCAGAAGGCGCTGGGGTCTCGGCCGAATCTCGGGTTTCTAGACCCTGAGCTGCTCTGCAAGTTACCATGCCGCGTGGAAGTCGGAGCCGCACCTCCCGCATGGCCCCTCCGGCCAGGTAAGACCACTGCGGGGGTTTGGGGCCCTGCCGGCGCCGTGACGCAGACGGAGGAGACGCTAGGCCTCGCCGCGGCCTGGCGGAGGCCGGTGGAGGCCGCGGGCGGGGGCGTCCGAAGGCCGGTGTGGCGTGGGCCAGTCTCCGCCCGCCGTAGGCTGGTTGTATATGGGCTTTAGCTAGATTTCCCGTTAGTGGCAAACCTTCTAATTTCGAACGCCCATGAGTACTTAAAATACTTTAGAGCTCATATTTAAGTAATCTGTACACCCAGCATGGGGCTGGAACTCACGATCCCAAGATCGAGACTCCCACGCTCCTCTTCCGACTCAGCCAGCCCGGCGCTCCTAGAGCTCATTTTAAATTAAAACGGTCATATCCTAGAAAGAAGTGGGTATTTTTGAGTGTAAAACGGCTGAAACTTCAAAAGTAGCCCAAAAAAAGAGAAAGAAAAAAACCAGTGTCGTAGAAAGGTAGTATAATCGGGAAAATGATCGCATTTCAGTAAACTGGATAATCTTTGAGCATCAGCAATGAGTGTTACAGGGCCTCGGCCCAGTTGGGAACGCAGTTACTAAAGTAAAGCCTCACGTGTACATGACGTTTTCTAGTTCTTTTTTTTTTTTCCCCTAAGAATTTATTTATTTGTCAGAGAAAGCACAAGCAGAGGGAGTAGCAGAGGCAGAAGCAGGCTCCCCTCTGAGCAAGGAGCCCGATGTGGGATTCGATCCTAGGACCCTGGGATCATGACCTGAGCTGAGAGACGCTTAACCGACTGAGCCACCCAGGCGTCCCTCTCCCTCTTTTCTAGTTCTTAAAATATTAAAATATACTGCTAATTATACTTTAACCTTAACACCAGTAACTTTAGGGATAGATGGTATTCCTCTTTCCCAGAAATAAGGAAATTCGAGAATCGGAATAAGTGACTTGTCCAAGGTCACTCTGTCAGTAAGTAGGAAAGCCAGGTCTGACCCGAGTCTTCCAGTGACCAGTTTAGGACGTTTAGCATGGTACTACATTGCTTCTCTGGAGTTAGGTGGATTGTGTTCACATGGTATGCTAGGAGTGTAGGAAAGTGGTTCACTTAACGGAAAGAAGCTTCTCTGCAAAGGACAGAAAACCACATTTTTGTAAAGTGATGCCAATCAAGTGGTGGAAGCGAAGTCATAAACTTCTGGCTTAGCCTTATTTGGGGAACGAGCACCCAAGGAGACAATCTAAAAATGGCCAGAGGGAACATAACATGTGAAAAATTTTGTTTTATTTTTTTAAGATTTTATTTATTTGACAAGAGCACGAGCAGGGGGAGCTGCAGGCAGAGGGAGAAGGAGAAGCAGGCTCCCCGCTGGGCTCCATCCCAGGACCCAGGGATCGTGACCTAAGCCACCCAGGCGCCCCCATATGTGAAGGTTTTTAAAGCAGTACTGGAGGGCGCCTGGGTGGCTCAGTTGGTTAAGCGACTGCCTTCGGCTCAGGTCATGATCCTGGAGTCCTGGGATCGAGTCCCGCATCGGGTTCCCTGCTCAGCAGGGAGTCTGCTTCTCCCTCCGACCCTCTTCCCTCTCGTGCTGTCTATCTCTCATTCTCTCTCTCACAAATAAATAAATAAATAAATAAAATCTTAAAAAAAAAAAATAAAGCAGTACTGGACATGTTAGTGAAAGGCTACTGTTGACCAGAAGCCTTAGCGATAACGTGAACAGTCGCAGTAACATGTATTTTGTGTTATATTACTATAATACTGTATTCTTACAATAAAGTAAGCTAAAGAAAAAACGTTACTAAGAAATCAGAAGGAAGAGAAGATAAACAGAGTACTATACTGATAGTGTACTTATCAAAAAAAATGTGGACCCATGCAATTCAAACCTGTGGTGTTAACTGCTCAACAGTACCATTTCTTTAGGTTGACGATTTCCAAGCCTGGTAGGAAGTGGGCACTTCATACTTTTGTTCTTTTCCTTCTTAGCCGGGCACCTCAGATGAGAATGGCACCTAGACCAGCGCCAGCAGCTCAGCCTCCGGCAGCGGCTCCACCAGCTGCTGTTGGCTCACCTGCTGCTGTGCCCCGGCAGCCAGGGCTCATGGCCCAGATGGCAACCACTGCAGCTGGCGTGGCTGTGGGCTCTGCTGTCGGGCACACGATAGGTCATGCCATCACTGGGGGCTTCAGTGGAGGAGGCAATGCTGAGCCTTCAAGGCCTGACATCACTTACCAGGTAAGATTTGGGGCAGTGTTGCTGTTCAGTGGTGTGTTACGAGAAAACCTAGTTATTTGTAAGTTTCTTATGTATAGGAGCTGTCTGTAATTTAATTTTTAATTTTTTTATTTTTTTAAAGATTTTATTTATTT